AGCTGTGTCAGAATTGAAAGGTCGTATGCTGGTCTCAAGCATAGTGCTTTTCTAATAATTGTCAAAGCTAACTTTGTCACTGTATATAATACACTGAGTTTGGAGCCTAATCCTTTATGAAAGATAGAAATTCCACTGTACTATTTTGCTAAATGAACTATTTGTCCTTTCTCTTAAGTTTCTGTAGTGTTTGATTTTTATGACTCAAGTGACGTTCTTGCTGATTATTTCAGTTTGTTCATGTCTTACCAGTTGAAAAGCTGAAGTCATGTCTATATTCAGACTTTATATGGTGTGCTATAAAATACTTATAAAATGAGTAAATATTTTAGTTTGCCTTTATGATGCTAACATTTAAAGAGTAAGCCCAAGTAAATATATCTTTTAACTCCCATCCACTGGTCATCCATTTTGGTACCATCTCTCCTACAGCTTTTCCGACGTGTAGCAGCGGCTTTGCCTGGAATGGAAAGTACACAGGACAGAAGCAGAGAAGACAGTATCCTTTGTGTTTCTATTGTTAACACTAGTCTTTGGAGCCCTGTTTAGTTGGCTGAGGAATATTGTGCCATTGTCTTTTACAACCAAAAATTGATGGCTTAGACACATGGAACAGCAGAGGTTTTGCTAACAAATGAGGTTGTGACCACGTGTACTTTTTGCAGCCTACTATTCACTCTAATTAATCAACGATGTTTGTTTGGAAATTCAGAAGTCCTACTCTCCTGCTACTTAATTCAGAGTCCTATTAGCTCTAGGGTTTTCCCCCACAGTATGTTACGTTTCTTCAAACTTTTTCTAAACTTCTGCGTTCTTCACATATGCAAGAACTAACTCAGAGTTGAGCTTTATGTTAGCCACCACTTTCAGAAACAAGACATATAATAAGATGTATCTAATAATTATTTCTTTGAGTTTTGAGTTTTGATGTTCTGCTTTATATTTGTCTTCTAGCATTTTTATATTTTCAGACATTTTGATTATGCCATAGAGATTATTTATTTATTTTGGGGAATGTTGAGACAGGATCTCACTATATATCTCAGGCTGGCCTTGAGTTCATTATGTAGGTCCAGGCTGGTCTTGAACTCATGGTGATCCTCCTGCCTCAGCCTCCTCCATGCTGGTATTACATGCATATGCCACCATACCTGACAGTCATAGAGTTTATAATACCTTATATTCACTTCTAAATGTTTTATAGAGTGGTACCTCAGTTTACAAACTTAGTTCTCTTTACTTTCTGGTTGCAAACCAAACTGGGTGAAAATGGAATCAGATTGCCCCATAAAGTCAACATTGAACCTAACCATTGAATTTCTTCTTCTTCCTCCTCCTCCTCCTCCTCCTCCTTCTCCTTCCTCTTCCTCTTCTTCCTCCTCTTCCTCTTCTCCTCTTCCAACTCTTCCTCCTCCTCCCCCTCCTCCTATTATTATTATTATTATTATTATTATTATTATTATTTGAAACCGGGGATTGAACTCAGGCTCTTGTGCTTGCCAGGAAAGCGCTTTTATTCTACTGAGCCATCTCTCCAACCCCTAACCGTTGAATTTGATTTGGTTCTCTTCCAACTTGGTTTATGAACAGAATTACAGAAAGAATCAAGTTTGTGAACTGAGGTACCATTGTATTTTCCAAAACTTTATTTTAGTAGCATAATATATTCTATAGAGTTTAAATCTCATCATTTATTAAAGTTTTCCTGGGGGAGGGAGATAGCTCAGTAGAATAAGCACCTTCCTGGCAAGCACAGGGTCCTGAGTTCAATGACTGGTACTGCAAAAATAAATAAATTAATTAAATAAATAAAATTTTCCCATTATTAGACCTCTTATAGACTATTGTGTAATTTTATTAGTTTTTTTTTTATACTACAAAATAATTTCTTTAGAATAGATGCCCATGAACAGGGCTTGTATCTTACATAGATCCTTATTATGTGTAATAGATATAAACAAGATTATTCCACTTAAGTGAGCACTTTGTAAGTTGAGGTAACTATACAGAAAATAGCATGAAGGCTGTAAGGTCTGAGGGCTGGCCAGATAGCTCAGCGTGTGGCGCTGGCCCCTCCCCTCCGGCACACTGAGAGGGCGACTGAGACTGGGTGTGGTGGTGCACCCATAATCCCAGCTCTTGGGAGGCCGAAAACAGAAGGATCACTATGAGTTGGATCTACATAGTGAGACCTTGGAGACCCTGTACCAAATACATTAAAAAATAATAAGTGTGATAAGAATATAAGAGGCTTCCCAGACCTGTTGAGCAGAATCTGAGTTGTACTCTATGGCTCCTTAACGTTGGTTTCAGTGATTGACATAAAGCTGGAAAAACCTCAGGAGCAGCCGGTCACCGAAGGAGGCTGCTCCTGCTAATCCCCAGAGCGTGCTCAGCCCTTCTCCAGAGCCCGCGGCTCTGGCCCTGTACTCTTCCATTGACTGCAGTGTGAATATTGGCTTAAACCTTTTCCCTTCAATAATAACATTGCAATTCATCATTGCTGCCTGTCTCGTGGAGATGATCTATTAGCTTCACAAGCACAAAAGTGTCAGTGTCTTCATTATTTATATTTTACCCCCCCAAAAAAAAAAACCCACAAAAGATTCCAGTGATAACTGAAGATTAGATACATTTTATTAACATTTTTCCTTTTTTAATGTTCTGATAAGATACTTTAAAATGATGGAAATGTCAGCAGTATGTGTGGCTCGGTTACAGAGCAGTATGTTCACAGCATTTGCCCACCTATTTGATCTCTTACCACCTTTCTCACTTCTCCCTTACCCTCATTTCCTATTTCTGCCCTATCACAAAACAAATGAGGGGGGCCTGGGAGATGGCTCAGTAGAGTGAGTGCTTCCCCTGGCAAGCGCAAGGGTCTTAGTTCAATCCCCGGTTCCACCAAAAAAAAAACAAATGAGGTGGCAAACAGCAGTCTGACGAAAACCATTGGAATTTCCTTCAGTTTTACATATACCACTTGCTGTAGCAGTAGGCCAAAATGTCCAAACGTATTCTGGAACACTGATACAAATTACTTAGACCTTCTTGAGTCAAAACTTAGCTGTCTTGTGATGGGCAGTGCTTGAATGAAGAAAGGGTTCTGCTGTATCTTCAAAGTGAGTCCTAATGAACATACTAAGTATTCACAGTAAAATGTGAAAAGTATTTCCAACCAAAACAAATGATGACCCTTTTGCATGTGCTTTATTAAACTCTGGGAGAGAAGTAACCAGTTAATTCTTCATGGTAAAATCATAAAGTTCTAATGAACTCTTTCTCCCAAAAATGTAAGACTGTGCAGACTTTTTCTTTTAAGATCTTATGCAATAGGGTTTTTTTTTTTCTTTTTTTTAAGTGCTATGCATGGAAGGCATTGTAAAAGTCAAGTTCTTTAAGAAGAATCAGTGAAAGAATTTAAATTTGGCACCATGGTCAAAACTCTTATAGCTTTAAAAACAATGAAGCTTACTAACAAAGAAGCCTTGCAAAATAGATATTTTGCTCTGGACATTTGAGGTGAAATTGGAGCTGGAAATAATTTTCATGTGAGCCCCTGGAGCAGTAGTGGCAATCCTGTGGTACGTGTGCCACAGCAGGCTGTTCGTATCATTGAAAGCTCTAAAAGGTTCGCCATCACTGCAGAGGCAGGTCAGGAAAATCAAGTTTGAAGAAGAAAAGGAAAAAATGGAAATATAAGTCAATATTATGCAGATTTATGCCTTATTTTATTATTTTTTTAGCATTTTTAACATGTTGGGTTCTTTAGGCTGGTTTTGCTTTTATTAGATATGTATAGTTTGGTTAATTAACTAGTGATTTAGTTTTATATTTAAGCTACAATTAATTTTGGTGATATTTATTTCTTTGCCATTTTAAAAACTCATTATAGATGCTTTTTGTTGACTGTGTAGAGCATCATCACCATGGCAATACGGATTTCCCTTAAGACACTGCAAACACATACACTAGGAGTGCACCCTTTTAATCTTTACTAGTTATTGTGAGGTTGCTGTGTAAGTTAATAAACACATTTGTAAATACATTGTTTGCAGGGAGAAAAATTCTGAGCTCAGAAAAAAATAGCTCAGAAGAAGCCTGCTGAGTTTATGTTGTAAGCATTACTTAACACAGTATAAAGATGAAAAGACAACAGAAATAACTTCTTCATGTCTTCATTGCAACAGAACCCTTAACTGGGAAAACCTTACTCCTCTTTCTTCTTCCTCCACTTCTCACTATTGTCACCTTGTAATATTCAGAGGATCTGAAGAGAAATGCTTTCAGATAATCATTAGCCCACATACCTGTAAGTTATACTCAAAGATGAGGTGGAGTTGTAAAGTGCTTTTATAATATATTGTTAAAAGCAAGGATTGACTCTCTTGTTTTATTTTGACATGGCATGTCCTGAAATAAATATTGATTCAATATAGCAGATTGGTCACATTCTTTAGTTGGAAGAAGTTGTGATTTCTAAAAAAGGGATAATTGTCTTCCTACACTGTTGCATTTGATTCTTTTTATGTATCTTTAAGAAAGTAACCAGTATGCTGCTTTTAATATTGGCCTTTTTATTTGGTTTGGGGTTCTTCAACTGAAGCAGTGAAGTGTGTTTATAGTCTAGTTTTTTGGTTTTTTTTTTAAAGAAACACAATTTTGCTGCCAAAATATATATAAATAAAGCACGAAAGAAAACAATTACTGACTTTGCCTCCCATTACTGCCAAGGGGTTGAATTTAGCAGTCTGTCACACGACTCTTGTTGGGAGAGTAGAAGAGTGGCTGAAACTTGAAGAATGGCCCTGGTAGAGTAATAAGATATTCAGTCATCAGACATGCACCATATAGTCACATTTTTGTCAATGATAAACCATATATGGGATGCTGGTCCCACTGGATTTTTTTTTTTTTTTTGTTGTTGTTGTTAAGGGTCTCACTACGTAGCTCAAACTCAGTGATCCTCCGGATTTCTGCCTCCCTAATGCTAGGATTACAGGTGTATGCCACCACGCCTGGACTCCATCGCCGGCTCAGTGTGCCTGGGGGCGGGGCTAGCAGGGCACGTGATGCTAGGGATCAAACTCTGGTCCCTACGTTTACCTAAGCAAGCACTTAGTCCACTGAGCTATACTGCTGGCCCATTTTCTTTTATCTGGAATAAAAACAAAAAAAAGCAAAGGCAGAAACAGGGTAACATACAACAACATGTTACAGATTTTCAAAACTAGAATAATATTAACAGTGATTGATATATTTTTACCAAATCTGTTACTCAAATTAACATAGTTATGCAAGATGGGAGATTTCATTGAATATTACCACATACTTGCAAGAAATCTTAAATTTGTGTTCACATTTTTATTACCTTTTAAAACAATTTAGGGGCCGGGGAAATGGCTTAGTGGAATAAGCGCTTGCCTGGCAAGTGCAAGGGCCTGAGTTCAATCCCCGGTTCTGCCAAAAATAAATTTAAAAAAAAATTACTTTCAAGAGAATATATTATTAATTGATATCACCTTAGAAACAGTACATATTTAGAAGACCAAAATGACAGGTATTTCAATCATGGTTTTAGTACTACACATTGCTGTCTTCAATGTAGTTGCTTAGTTCACAGATAATCAGCGTAAGTTACTCATGGTAAGATTTCTACCCATTAGCTGCTATTTTTAAAAACCTGATGGAAATTCTTAGGACAATTGCCTTATCCATCTTGTATATATACATGTATGGTTTTGCCCCTACCTTATTACCTAACTTTTCTCCTTTGTCTTCATTGTTTTTTTTTTCCTCTTCATTGTTTAATCCTTAAGTTTTTATTCTTTCCATTTAACTGTGTTGTTAAATCTTTCACTTTATTTCTTCTTTTGAGTTTTTTTTTTATTTGTGTGTGTGTGTGTGTGTGTGTGTGGCCAGCTCAGCCCACCTGGGGGCGGGGCTGGCTGGCATGTGGTGCTGGGGGATTGAACCGCGGTCCCTGTGTTTTGCCAAGCTTGTTCCAAGGAGGTACTTTAGACCACTGAGCCATCTCGCCAGCCCTTTGAGTTCTTATTCTAGAGAGACAATAACAATATTTACACATGTGGTCTGCTTTAATTCACCTATGAGTATAGTCTCAAGTTAATCCATTTAACCTACAAAGGCTGCAAGTTTGTTTTTCTTTATACCTTAGTAATACTCCATTGAATAAAAATGCCACGTTTTACATCCATTCCTCGGGCATTTTGGTTGTTTCCAAGATTTGGCTATGACAAACTGTATTGGCATAAACATGGGTGCACATATATCACTGTAATAATGATGTTTTCACTTCTTTTGGGAAAATTCCCAGAAGGGGGATAGCTGGATTGAATGGAATTTCCAAGCCTAAGTTTTTGAGACACCACCACACTGATTTCCATAATGGTTCCACCAGTCTACATTACCACCAGCAGTGGAGAAGTGTTCCTTTTTCCTCGCAGCCTCTCCAACATTTTTTGTTGATTTCTTCATGATAACCATTCTTTCTGGGGATGAGATGGTATCTCAGCGTTGTTTTAATTAGTATTTCTCAAATGGCCAGTGATGTAAAGCATTTTTTCATGTATTTGCCTCTTGTATTTCTTCCTCTGAGAAGTGTGTATTCATCTCACATGCCCATTTTTGGATTGAGTCTCTAAATTTTGGGGCCCTAATTTTTTTAGTTCTTTATAAATTCTAGATAAAAGACCTTTTCTGCATGATTATTAGTATTTTTCCAAATTTGTGGGGGTTTCACTCTGTTGATAATTTCTTTTGATGTGCAGAAACTTCTCAATAATAGGCGGTCCCAGTTGTTAATTCATTCTAGTATTTCCTGTACAGTTTGATTTTGTTCATGAAATGTTTGCCTACCCCTATGTCTTCAAGATGTCCACCTACTTCCTCTTCCAGATTAGTGTTTCTGTTCTGTTTAAATCTTTAATCCATTATGACTTTAGTGCATGGTGATAGACCCAGGTCTAGTTTTAATTTTTGGCATGTAGAGAGCCAATTTTTCCAGCACCATTTGTTAAAGAGACTATCTTTTCCAGTGAACATGTTTGGCCCTTTTGTTGAAGATAAGATGGCTGAACGTGTTTGTAGTCATATCTGCATCTTGTAATCTGTTTCATTGACCCTCAGGTCTATTTTTTTTTTCAATACCATGCTGTGATTTTATCACAGCTTTGTAGTATAATTTCAAGTTAGGGATTGTAATGCCTCTTGCCTTGCCTTTGTTGCCCAGGATTGTCTTTGCTATCCAAGGTCTCTTCTGGTTCCAAACAAATTTTAGGAATTTCTCTAGATCTGTGAGGTATGTTGGTGGTATTTTTCTAGGGATTGCATTAAATCTATATTTTGGGAGTATGGCCATCTTCACAGTGTTGGTTCTTCCTATCCAGGAGCAAGGAATATCTTTCCATTTGCTGAAATCCTCTTTGATCTCTTTCAGAGTACTGTAATTTTCATTGAATAGATCTTTTACTTCTTTAGTTAGATTAATTCGTATTTCATTTTTCACGGTGTTATTGTACAGGGTATTGTTTCTCTAATTTCTCAGTGTGTTATCTGTATAGAGGAATGCTATTGACTTTTGAGTATTGACTTTGTAACCTGCTATGCAATTGAATTTGTTTATTGTAGGAGCTCCTTGGTAGAGTTTTTCGGGTCTTCCAAGTACAGTATCATGTCATCTGCAAATAATGGTAGCTTAATTTTTTTACTTCCTCGTATTCCTTTTATTTCTGTCTCTTGTCTAATGGTTCTAGCTAATGATTCCAGAACTATATTGAATAGGAGTGATGATAGAGGACATCCTTGTCTTGTACCTGATCTGAGAGTAAAAGATTTCAGTTTTTCCCCGTTTACAATTATGTTAGCAGTTGGATTGTTATAGATGGCTTTTATCAGGTTGAGATAGAAGCCATCTATTCCAATTTTCTGTAGGACTTTGAACATGAATGAGTGTTGGACTTTGTCAGAACACATCTTAGTTTCTACGTCAACTGAGATGATTATGTGGTTTTTGGTTTTGGCCCTATTATTATTTTTTTTCTCTTTTATTGAGAAATAAATATGAATGAGACAGTTTCACAGCTGATTAATAGGACAGTTTTGATAGTCAATACACTGTACATTGTTATCTTCTTAATGGTTATCCATAGTACAAGAAGCAGACAGGATATTCTGTCCAAACACTGTTAGTACACCTCTTCTCATTGAGTTAAGCGAAAGTAGCTGTAAATTTATCCTATTTTGTATATATAAATA